GACCTTTTACTTGAAAGTTACCTTTGCATTCTTATTATACCACACTGAGAAGATTATACATTATCCTATTAGCATTTCGATGGCCCCATGGCTACAAAAGTACTGTGGGAGTTTTTTGTTTATTTTTTTATTGTTGATGCTCAAATGAGTCTAAATAACCTATCTAAAGCAACATATGACCATTTTGTAAAATCCCAGAATATAGTTAATTTTAATACTTTAAAATTATTCAAAGATAAGTGCCTTCCTAAGAGAATAATGCAATTTTAAACTGGAGTCTGAGTGAGAAATAACAATATTCCTACCTTTAGATCTTTGCCGGGATTTGAAGCGATCCTTGAAAATCAGCTTCATGTAACCATCTTCAGTCTCCATCTCCTCAAATATTTTCATGTGATATTACCCAGAAAATAGTAAAAGAAAATAGAGAATAGTTTCAGCCTTGGATGGATAGTCCTGCTAGCACGATGTCCCAAAGACTAAAAGGAAGTCCAAAAATAGTCTGACCACACAGGATGTGTTGGTGAATTAAAATGGATGGACATGTTAATTTCTGAGTAAAATTCTGTATGCTGCAAAGTAAAAGTGGGTATTTTGCTTTGTTCTTTTTAATAAATATTTATTCGACCCTTACTATGTACCAGTCATTTGTGTGCAGTATATTAGGAAAAAAAAATGAAGAAGACAAACATACTGTCTATCTTTATATTCTAATGAGAAATAAATATATAAATACCAAACAAAACTAGTGCTTGGCTAGATAAGAGTAAAACTTTTAAAGGTTACTATCTTTACGTCACAGACACAGAGGAAATTAGCACTTTTTAGTGGCGATTGGTAAAGCACAGGCCAGCGGTGAGGAACATACAATGAGGACATGAGGAAAGGTAATATCAGGCCTACATTCAATCAGTTGTCATAACAGTTATTTTAAATAATTGTCCAAAATCCCTAAGAGAGGTATGGCTATGATGGTCTGAGGTGACTCTGCAAGAAATGATCAGTGTAGAGGCAATGGTAAATTGAATACAAGGGAGATGAATCCAACATACTATGAAGTCCTTGTGGTACGGCAGTAGATCTGTGGGCAGGAAGTCAAATTCATTATTGGGTTAAGAGTATATCTTTGGTTGATCTCTTACCCGCCCCCCCCCCATAACCAATGGACATAAGACACTGGGGGGTAGGGAGGCTAGGGGACTGTCAAGGGCGAGGGGGGAGAAGGGGGGGGATTATGTAATACCCTTTGTAATACTTTAAGCAATTAAAAAAAAGAGTATATCTTATTAAAACCCACTGTTGCCCTCTTCAATATGATAGTCACAATGTAATCTGCCACCATGCTAGCCTGCTGTCCCTCTCAGAATTGGTATCTCATCTGGGACACAGGTTTGGCCATTGCATTTCACACATTGGGCACTCAGTTCCAGGGCATCCTTGGGGAGTAGAAGACAACTTTGTTGATCCCATACTTAGGACTCATTTCAGTTTCATGGCCATTCTGTATCAAACATCAGGGTGTCTGGAGAAAGAGGCTTCCTGACGCCCACACCACATACCATTCTGTCTACCTGATTACTGAAAGTCTCCTCCTCAACTCTGGTTATCAAAAATTAGGGGTATTTACATAGGAATTAATTTAATAATCTGTGTTCATTCTGAATAATCCCTATGCATACTTCTCCCCCAAATCTCTTTGTCATGCATGTTCTAGTTTTGTTCTTTTTGAGTTCTTGACCAGCCAATGAACCCGTTAATCTCTGAATATGAGTCATTTTAGATTTATATTGCTAGCTACTCATCTTTCCTGCTAGATGAACAGCCAGATATATCACCCAAATGTCCATTTAACTCAAAGATTTAATTTAACTCCAGTTGTCTTTCAAGGGAACCCCCTGAATGGGACTATAATGTGGAATCTATTTTTAGCAGTCATACATTTCACATTCAGTGATAAAACTTTTCTTTTTACTTCTCCACTATGTGATCGTATGGAACCCTTTCCCTCTCCTGCACCAAGTATATGTACATGGTTCAGGAGAAGAGAGAAAATTAATACAGAAACATACCATGGGAGTTTGAGCCATCGGCTCATGCAGTTTACTGTACCTTTTTGGAATTGCTCAGGCCTAGCCTCCAATATGCTCCTTTTGAGTCTATGATAGAATGCTGCTGTACATTTTAAATTTTAGGATCTATTAGGACAAATTGGTTCCATGAGGTCATATTCTTGTTGGTGAACAAATATCATACTAAAGTTACAGACTCTTTACTGCTTATTCTTCACCAGGTACAATTAGCATAATGTCATTATTGTAATGAGTCCATTCTTTATAATAGCGATATCATGTTCTGAGATATGTCAAAATGATCTAGATCTCACTAAGATATCTTATGGCAGAAATCAGGAGAACTGACATATACCTGGGCAAAACAGTAAAGAAGTATTCTAATGAAATTCCATAAAAGATTGTAAATGGTGGAAAATATCTGTAATACATGTATCTGACAAAATGATTGTTTCTATATTATCTATACACTAGAGGCCCAATGCATGAAAATTTGTGCAAGAGTAGGCCTTCCTTCCTCCAGCTGCCGGCACCAGCTCCCCTCTGGCACCCGGGACCCTGGCTGGCTTCCTTCCTGTCCCGGTTTCATCAGGAAGGACGTCTGGAATGATGTCCGGAAGACATCAGGTCTATTTAGCATATTACCCTGTTATTATTATAGATTACAACTCATTGTATTGGCATAAGCCCATAAGAATGCTCAACAGATCATTAAAAATGTGCAAATTAAACTACATGTAGATATCATCATATAACTACTTGAATAGTTAAAATGTAAGACTTACCATATCAAATATTGCTATTGATGTGGAGCAACTGGGACTATTCTACATTAATGATGGGAATGATACAACCTCTGGACAATGTTATATGTTTATGAAATTAAACATATATTTCCTTTTTAAACACAGCTTTATTTGAATATAATTTATATACAGAAAACTGCACATATTTAATGTGTGCAGTTTGATGAGTTTGGACATATGGAAACACCCATGATACCAGCACCACAGTCAAAGTAATAGACATACCCATCACCTCACAGATTGCATGTTAATCACAAAAATAGAGGGGAAGCAAAAAAAAAATTCCTCTATATAACCTAACAATTCTACTCCAAGCTATTTCCTCAAAAGATTTGAAAATAAATGTCTACAGACAGACTTTAACAGAAATATTTAAGGTGGTTTTATTAATTTTAGCCAAAAATTGGAAACACCCAATGGGGTAATGGATAAACAAATTATTATATATCCACATAATGAAATATTACTCAACAATAAAAGGAATGAACTGTTGTTCTATGCAACAAGGTGGATGAAACTCAAAGGCATTATACTGAGCAAAAAACAGGCTTTCAAGAGTGCATACTATGGCTGCTTCAGTTATGACTCCCTAACGTAAAGTGTTCTATTCAAGTGCAAAACCTCAATGACATGACCTCCAAAGAGAGCTTTCTCTCCCCTCCCATCCAACCTGGGTCAGTTTGCCTGCTGAAAATGGTGTAAACAAGTGAAACTCACAAGAACTGTGTAACTATGGTAACCACTACCTTGTTTACCGCTCACTATAAAAAGCTTGGTGAGGCCTGAGCACAGGGAAGTCCTTCCTCTTGAGTTGGACTTGCCGCCTGGTCCTCCAATATTCCCAAATTATCTTGTGTCTTTTCTATTTCATTTGTGTGCGGCTCCTCTTCCAGACCTGAACCCTGAACCACGCAGGACGTGGAGGGAAACACTTACGACACTATCTAAGACCAGGTGGCTTAGTTCCATCTGAGAAGAAGTCCAGCCTCTGGGGCCACAGGGCCAAAGCCCCCCACCAAGCCCAGGGGGAGGGCCCCGACCCAGAGCAGCTATGCCATTAACCCAGTATCCGAGGCATCCAGAGTCCAGCACAGTCTCTGTTCCCATCCTGCCCATGTGGCTGCTAAAGAAAGAGAGAGAGAAAGAGAGAGAGAGAGAGAGAGAGAGAGAGAGAGAGAGAAGGGACCCTGAACCTCGGGCCTTTGTTAAGCTTTGATTATATTTCCTTGGGTTTGGGAGAGAGCAGGCTTTCTTTCAAACTACCCAACCCCTTTCCTGGATCTTCTTGGGTTCGGTGACTTTGTTTTATCTGCTTCCCACCCTTCCCCGCACCCACCCCCAGACATTCCCAGGCTAAACTCTTCCCCTTTATAGTTGCCATTTTGGCTCCTACTGCATCTGCCTCAGCAGAGGAATTTCCCCCTCATTGCTTACCCCTCACCCTGGGGAGATTGGAAAGCCAACTTTTCCTACCTGCTGGCCTACGGCAGAGGATGCAGCTGCTCCCGAGGGTGTCGGGGAAGCTTCACCTTCCCAGTTAATCAGGCCTAATGTCTGATTCCATTTGCCCTCTTCCTTTGTTAATAACCTAACTAACTACTGTCACAGATTGGGTGTCCATATCAGAGAGAAATATGTTGCTACCTTTGCCAAAAACAAGATTCAGAAGCTAAAGAGGTTTTATGAAAGTGTTGATTTTCTGTCAGTGAAAAAATCTTAAACTTGGAGAAAAATAAAATGCTTCCTGACCAGAACACACACACACATGCACGCGAACACACACACACACACACACACACACACACACACACACGACTTCCTTTTCTTTTTAAATCTTTATTGTTGAGATGTCCCTCCATTTCCTCCCCATTGCCCACCTCCATACAGTTTCTGGCCAATCCCAGGCCTTCATCTTCTCTTTCTTTTACTTCCTTTCTGATTCTTTCTAACTTCCTTTCACGCGGCGAGAGTCGACCGACTAAGGATCTTAGTCATACGCTTAGTTTCATTTTGAGAAATATTATTTAAACGTCTGTTTACCTTATAAAAGTAGGAAGACCATACCTTAAAGCTGTGTTGTAAAGACAACATTTTTGCTCTAAAGTTCAAACTTTGAAGAGAAGTTATGGAAAATATAGTGAATAACTCCGCCTCATCTGCCCTGCAGGACGGGGTGCCAGAAACTGATTCAAAAAAGCAAGGTAAGTCTACTTTCAATTGTGCAGAATCAAGGTGACTTAGTGAAATTATGAAGCCTAATGTTAAAAACTTAGAAAAACTTAGAAAAAAATGAATGAGTTTTGTAGTTTCTGCCATCACGGCAAAAAAAAAAAAAATCCTATTGAAAAATAGAACAACAAAATTCAGATTTGTAACTATTTTGTTCTTTTAATTCAGATTCACTTTATCTTAATTAAGAATGGAAAGGGATTAACAGTAGCTTAAAACTGTTCAAGACTTAGATTCGCTTTAATTTAGTATTTAATAATGGTATTACTGGAAAAAAGATGTTAAATATATTCTATGTACTCATTCAATGACTAGAATACACAGAAGATACTAAAATTGGCCAATATTTGTGATATTTTAAAAGACTGTTTATAGGCCTTGAGGAACTCAAGATATACTACACTGCAGATTTTTAATAGCAGAAAGATTATCTGCTTATCTTACTCTTATCTAAGTAATTGCTTGTATCCTGATATTTTTGAGGATGAGGGAAGAAAATGTACTTAAAAAAATACTCTTAGAAAACAACTAGGTATTACGTGGATGTATTAAATAACAAACTCAGATCCTAATTCTAAATCTGACAGGAAAATCTTTTCAAGTTATTTGAATAGAGCTCTTTATAGTCATACTATGGTGAAGAAGAGAGGAAATGAAACTAAAATGTATAATATCTAGCAATCCATGATTTGGGGATTGTTGTGAATTGACATTTTCCACTTAATTTTTTTTAAATATATTTTATTGATTTTTTACAGAGAGGAAGGGGGAGAGAGAGAGAGAGAGAGAGAGAGAGAGTCAGAAACATCGATGAGAGAGAAACATCGACTAGCTGCCTCCTGCACATCTCCTACTGGGGATGCGCCCGCAACCCAGGTACATTGCCCTTGACCGGAATCGAACCTGGGACCCTTCAGTCCTCAGGCCGACGCTCTATCCACTGAGCCAAACCGGTTTTGGCCACTTAATTTTATTTCAACCTACCAGTACATGCAAATCAAAAATTATTGTTGCAGTTCATATCAGAATGCATACTAGAATCCTCTCTTTTTTGTTTTTGACAATTTAATAATTCTTTCTAAGGTTAAATCAAAGAGGGTTGGGAAAAAATGGAATCAAATATTATATGGTAACATGAAAATATCTGAACAAAAATTTTTAAGAATACTTTCTAGTCATGCATAAAATCAGTGTTAAGTTCAACTTTATGTATCAGTCAACAGTTTGGATTTATATGTTGTCTGTGTAAATAAGTTCTATATACCACACAGATGTATTCTATATGTTACTTAATATTGTATTGCTTTGTTTTGGGGGAAACAGGAAAAGTTATGCTCCAGAAACTGATTTTGTCTTTGTCACAGGAATTTACATAATACAGATTCCCTGTGGTAATGTTAATAATTTCATAAGCCAGTGACATATAAGATGATATCTCTTAATAAGCGAATAAAAAATAACATGCACCCAACCAATGATAGATTATTAATCTATTCCAGGCAAGGGGGATAAAAGAATAAAGTCTAAATTTAATACAAGGTGTAGCTTTTTACACTTAGAGTTATTTAGGAAGGACAGCTATCAAAGGAGAGCTGATTTCCAACTGCCACAGAAAAGTTAACCCCTTCCCCAACAATATTTTTGTTAAAAACGTTTCTTTTTCAGACTAATTTTTTTATTTTGGTTCTATATAGTATTTTTGATGCTGGTTATGAAAACAGTTTGTAACTCGTCTTCCTATCAACCATATTTTTTTACCATATTTTCTTAGTATACTCGTCGACGACTGAAAAAGAACATTTTGTGAAAACGAGTATACACGTTTCTGCCGGGGAAGTACCCTGTTGCTAGGAAACAAAAAAGCAGGTGTTGGCTGCCTCCTTTTTTTTTTCTTTTTTAATATATTTTTATTGATTTCAGAGAAGAAGGGGGAGGGGGAGGAAGATAGAAACATCAGTGATGAGACAGAATCATTGATGGGTTGCCTCCTGCACACCCCCCACCAAGGATTAAGTTCGCAACCTGGGCATATGCCCTGACCTGGAATCGAACCATGACCTCCTGGTTCATAGATGGACACTCAACCACTGAGCCACATGGTTTGGGCAGCTGCCTTACTTCCTGTATTGCCAACAAGATAGTACTCCTTATCAGTAGGAGCTAATGCCCCAAGGGTTTTGAGAGAGTTTTGGTGAAAGGGAATATAGTCAATAATATTGTGATAAATTTGCATGATGACTGATTACTAGTGTTAGTGAGGTGATCACATGGTAAGGTGTATAAGTATTGAGTCACTATATTGCACACCTGAAACTAATAAAATATTGGTTACTAACTATAGTTAAATAAAAATAATAAAAATGAAAATTATATAAATTAAAAGTTT